GGGCGTCCTCTTGCCCTTTGTGGAAGGGGGGGGGGGGGGGAAGGAATGCTAGTATAAGCTCATGAGTCAACTTTTATTTTGCTTCCCCTGCATTCACAGCTTGGGTGAAGTAGCATATAGCTGCTCTTGCAGAAAAGATTGTACAGAAGAGTCTCAAGCACCATTACATAATGTCAACACAGCTCTATTTGAGACTTGTACATCAAGCCTCTCCTGATGGCCAGCTTTAACAAGCGTCTACTGAGGAAGCATCACATTTGCTGGACAAGCAGGTAGGCTCCTCCCTAATCAGTAGCTAGCAGTAATGAATAACCTTCTAGCATTCTTGAACAAATACCCCTTTATTACTACACGAACTCAGGTATTAGTCAAGGAGAGGGAGTTATGTACACACACAGAAAGATGACCTACCAGTTCATACATGAAGTCTGGATCTGAACTGCTTGCCAAGAGATCCGTGCTCATCAGAGTCTGCTCTGAAAACACATGGCTCCGAAAGGCGTCCCCAAAAGGAGGGTCCATTCCACTCACACTGGGCTACAACAAAATTGATACTGACATTTGAAGCATGCTATAAAAAGGCATATTCTTTTCTTCAACAAAACATAAACAGTATTGCCATTTCATCCAAGTCTCTGAACTTGTGCTACACTTGCATCTGGAAGGTTTTTACCTACACATATAAGCATGTCATTTCTCAGAGCGAGAGAATGCTTTAAGAGCAGCTAACAACATGCAGCTCTTTAATCAAAGGACACATTTGTATTCATCATATAGCTGCAAGAGCATTGCTCATGCATTCCTTTTTGTTGGTTTGAAATTCTCATGCATTTGCCAAGTTTAGGGATATGTTAGCATTTGTAGAAGAGAGCGAGTACTGGCAAGATGTTTTAGTATCAATAGGCACTACACGCTTGCAGGGCCTTCACCCTAACACAAACCATTTTGTACTAAAGCAGAGTCAACTGCTTTTAAAACCATTAGAACTCAGGAAACTTCCATCTGAGATTGTAACAAAAGCAAAATTTATTACAACTAAATCAAGACTGTTGTATCTCTTGAGAATGAAGTGGAACTTTGCAAAAAAACATTATGCAGGATGACTGGGCATGCAGGGAATGGGCAGCAAGGCTTTCTGCTACATTTAATTCCAGACTTCTATTTCTTTTCTAGACACACTCGCCCTGAGGGTTGGGAAGGGAGAAACACTGTACTGCTGAAAGTCATTCAGTGTGCTGATGTGTGAATCACTGCAGTAACAAAAGGCTGCTCTCCAGGCATCCACCCTCATCAAGACAACTTTGCTGAATCTTGCTGTGTGAACAAATACAATACCAAGAGCAGTAACATAGCTTCCACCATAGACACTAATGGGAGCCTAAAAAATATACACCATTTAATCTCCTATAAATTCTCCCTGATAGTGCCAGTCAAATTTGCTCTTAAACTTTTTTTTTAATAAGGAAGCAAAACTATTTACAGAAGCAAACAAAATAATAACAGACTTACCTGAGGCATTTCCAAGCCCAGATTCCCCAAATCCAATTCCAAACTTCTTGTTTTATTCACTTGTAGATTCCTTTCCAGCTTTATTTCAGTCTCAGTGAGTTTACACAATCCATGCAATGAAATTTTTCCTTAGGATAACTTCAGTACACCCTGACTGAGCTCTTCTTTTTGTAGACTTCTGTGTGGAATAAACACAGCAAACCCCCAAGGAGGTAAGTAATCCTTCACCAAAGAGGTAGTGCTTAAAAAACAGCCAAAGTGAAGTAAAGACAAAAATTTCCCCTGAAAAGTGATTATTCTTCATGCTGAAATGTATAGCAATTTTCTTTCCCTGCCATCTTTCATTGAATGAAAAGCCACTGATGCTGCAGAACAGAGCTCCTGCAAAAACCTTTTTGGCTGAGTTACATTTTGTTGCCTTTTTTCCTCAGTTACAGAGACTACGAGCTCTATGGACATCCGAAAAGAAAAGCCTGCCTAATTGGAAATAATGATTAGCATACTGCTGGGTATACAAGAGAGAAACAATCTTTATGACTAATATAACAGAGCCAATAAATTCTAAAAATGTCTCAGGCAAGCGTCTCAAAATACTAATTTCAGAATAGGTAGTAATACTGTTTCAGCGATATCTCCTCCTTTTCTTAAAAGACTAATCCATCCTGCATCAGATAAGATTGTATCAGTCACTCAAATAGCAACATCTAGTGGTAGAGCGATTACAGCAAGCAAACTCACCGTCCAGCAGTAGAGGAAGGGAAGCAACAGACTTCCCCAACCGAGCAAATTAAAAATTGTGCCAAATTCAGCGTTGCCTAATAAAATATCTTCTCTATTAATTTCAAGTAAGGCACATGTTAAGATTGGTCCAATTTATCTAACAGTAATTTTACCAGTTTAGTAGTTTCTATAGACCCGTTGCTACTTCAGATGTTTATCTAAAGACTTTTCCAAGCCTCGTATCCTGCTTAATCCTGCATTTTTTAACAACGTAAGGAAAAACTGAACTGTAGAAAAGCAAGCGCCTTAGCACAAACATCAGGAACTATATCTACCTAAAAGTATGACAAAAGACTCATAAAATAAGTAACAGGAAGTAAAAAAGAACAATGTTATATCAAAACCAATAATAACAAAAATCATCCATGGTATCAAACCTTAGTATCTAATGTAACTACATTGTCTTCAAGGACACTGCTTTCTTACTGTCTTGCTGGCCTGCAAGATCCCTACCCTTTTAAGTCTCTAACAAAAAAGCAGCATTAGAGGAACATAATCAAAAAACTGCACCATCATACTTGTACAGTTTTTCAGCATTATCAGTTAAAATGTATTTGTTTCTTTGAGCAGAATTCTTCACTCAGCACTGCTCCTAAGTTAGACTTTGGTGCAATCTGCTCAGACTATGTTTATTCTCCTGTTTTGAAAAGCAAATAGTAAAGTAAAAGTGTTCTCCTACAGCGGAGCTACGCTCAGAACCCTCCTCCCACCAGCACGTGACAGCATCCCCATGATTATTCCTACTTTCAGGTAGCATCTCAGCTATTTGTTATATTCAGCATATATACCATCAGACTGTGGTAAAAACAGACACTATGTCAAAAAGTCTTTACTTATCAAAACATACTGCTTTTCAAATAGTTGCTAGAATACAAAGAAAAACAATTATAGGTCCAATTATACATGAGTTCTCAGTAAAACCATGCTAACACTGCCAAAGCAAGCCACTCCTTGTAGGGCCCTGTGTCAACTAAGAGCCAGCTCCTTCTGAGAAAATTTTTTCTGGTCTAAAACTTCCAGGGAACTCTTTTTACTTATCTTAAAGTGACATTTAAAATTAAGTTTGTGTCCCAGGGCAACATGCCTCAACAACCCCATCTCCCTTCATCCCACAAAGGCCACACTGCAGCAGAACTAGCCCTTCCTAGGCTGTTAAATGCGGCATGAACATCTAATTCACTTTTCAACCTGGCCTGATCTAGAAGAAAGGGCCTGTTCTTTAAAACAAATAAACAATATTCTCATACACAAAGAAAGAGGCGAGAAGGATATAATCTTTAATACCAATCTACATCTGAGTAGTATCTATCTTTCTTTCCATGCAGAGTGGCAGAGAATGATGCCTTTTTCAACAGAACATGATTAATACTTTGACATCAACACCAGAACACCACCACCACCTGCATTCACATGGGAGAGACTGTTAGAGTTCTGCCACTGCATGATATAAAGGGGAAACAATGGAGACATTTGCTGCTTCTTTACTGGTTATTCTTTGTTATGTTTTTGTTAGAACAAGTAACCTCAAGCCATTCCACTGTGTTTCATACACAGGGAAGGGGGGTGAAACATAATCTGTACTGACACTGATTTTAGTAACAACCAACCTACGCTTCCAAGTGTCAGGACCAGGGAGCTTTTGGATCACTTACAAATCCTCAAAACAGACACTAAACGTTCAAAGTACTTTTAGCATCTCAAAGACTGGAGCGATCTTTTAGGTATAAACTTACAGCACCATTTAAGAATGACAGTGTAGGTCCTCCCAGGTCAAAGCAGTAGTATACCAGCTAATCTGATTGTTCCTGTAATTTTCTTTATATTTAATTCTTGACATTTTATAATATTAATATTTAAATGTGATTTGAATCCCATTAGGATCTATTCAAGCATTCTACAACAGAAGATTTTTCTTGGTAGGTCTATGGAGGGGGGAAACACAGTGAGGCCATAAAAAGAAAGATGCTGCCTCAGGGAGCTGCACAACCTAGGCATGCTTCATGCCCCCAACAAAGCAGACCTACTTCCAACTGCTTTCTAAATTTCCCTGAATCATCAAGATCTTCATTAAAAGACTCCCAGTGTTCACACTTAACTACCAGTATTTCTTCATGAACTAGTAAATAAAGATGTATTGTAGAAGTCAATGACACATATGGAAGCACAGATGCAAAAATCTGAACTTGCTGTGAAGGAAAGTAACTTTGTAGACTGCAGTTGAAGTCCCATTTTTACAGAATTCATCATTATTGGCACTCTCAGGCCAAGACTGAGTTAGAACAGAATAGTACAGTTGTTACGTTATCTATAATGAATACCGATTTGAATGAACTGAAAGACAAGTGGCAGAGCGCAAGAATAGCAGTATAAGAATTACTGAAAATAAATATAGCAGGAATTTCTACTTCAGGACAATTTTCATTAATGCCTTACATCAGCCCTTCCCAAATGCAGAGGTACAGAGGTAAAAACCTGTAGTTGCTTCACAGCAACTGAACTGCAGGTGGAATACACAGCCGGAGGCACCGGGCAGGGTGCCGCCACTCCTTTTGGCAGCAGCCTGCAGTTAAATCAGATTAAGGTGATTAAGGAGCCAGTCCCTGAGTTGGTTCTGTGTCTGCAGATTCTTGAGTCACATCAGTGTGGAGCTGCTCCCCTGCTCCTGGTAGAAGGCTCCCTTGTCCCCTTGGGCGTGAGGAAGGGCAAGACATCTCAGGAACTGCTATGTTCATCTAACATTCAAGAATTTGGGGTACTGGTGGAGGTATGGATATATACACATCGGTTAAAATCCTCATCAGTCATCAATAAGTAACCAAAACCTGTATAGAGTTAATAATTTGTTAATCTAATGACAAATCCCAATAAAAATCCTCTGCATTTGTATTTACTTTTTGAAAACGTGCATTTAGAATAGTTTAATAGTGGTCCCAAGATGCCCAGGCAGACTGAACTTCGAACAATCTAATGGCAGGCTTATTACATGACATTATTGATGCAGCACTACATTTAAATTGGCACACAGCAGGACCTGAACTGAAAACATGCAGCATTAAGGAGATGCATGACAGTTACCATGCATGTGCCACTTCCCTAGACTAGTGAAACGCCCTTCTACGACAATACATTCTCTCCAAAGAAGTCCCTATAAGAGAAAAATGTAAACTGCCAGCTTTCAGCTTGACAACTCTGAAAGTCTTCCTCAGTCACCTGTATGAATCATTTGTACCATAGCTATAACTAAAGTCGCTATTTCTGTCTCAATTGAGATATGTATTTTGTACAATTTGAAAAGCACACAGAGCGTTGCTATACCATTTTGTTGATTGTACAGTGCTTATTATCACAGCAGCTAAATGCCTGTTATAAATACATTACATGAACAATTACATTTTTCATTATGGTGACTGCATCATACAGCACAGTTTGCGAAAGTTACATTTTTGATGCAGATAAAAAAATAGCACATCATGAGAGCCTGTTAATACTAAACCTACAAACTCAGGCTAAAACATTCAAAATGCCGAACTTTGAATTTCAGAGAATGCACTAAAACTATGCCGTGTATTTTAAAAGAACCATTATGTACTATGCAGTGTTTGCTATATCTGGACATTTTATGAAGTACTACAGTTAGAGATGCAAGAAGTTCTCCTACGCTTCTCTTAAACCTTTTTTTCCTTCCACAGTTTGTGCCAATTTGTTTCCTATTACAGAACATACTCGGCTCAGTGCGGTCTTCAAGCACAGAACGTATTTTTCTTAGTTTTGTTTATGAGTGTAATGTTCTTGTGTTGTTGGTTTTTTTTTCTTCTCCTTTCTACAGGATACTTCAATTATTAGCCAGACTTAAAAAAAATTGTTTACTTTTTCCCCCCACCACAGAGACATTAAGTTTTCTTTCATGGTGGTTGGGTTTTTTTTTTTTTTGATTTTTTTTCGTAGCAGGTGAGCAAAGACACTCTTGTAAAAGGTCGTCCTCTGCTTCCACCCACTGTAGCCTCATTCACCTCTCATCCAAAGAAGCCAAGTCCGTCTACCTTCTCAGTGATGAATTTGTATTAAAAAGCCAGCATAAGCATCTAAGACATTATGCCCTTTGCTTTCTCTACCCTGGAGAGCAAACAACATCTGCTTAAGGCACCCAGATCCTAAGTTTGATGGAGCATTGCCATATAAAAGAACTAAAGATACCAAGACTGTTTCACTTCTTTTAAGACTCTTCCCTTCAGGAGAGGGAAACTGCTACTTCACTGTCTTTGTTCCTTTTCCTCTGCTGACCTTCCGTCCCCCCCATTTTTTTTCTAATCCTACTTGCCCACAGCAGACAGACTTCAGGATCTGGAAGTGACACCACTAAACAGAAACTTTGGTCTTCAATCACACACACAACATCTCAGGTAAAAGAGCTGATGAATTACCAAAAAAAAAAAAAACCCAAAAAAAAAACAGCACTACATTCGTTGTTTGAATTAATACCCCTGCAAGTCAATGCCAGCTACCCAATTTTGGAGGGGTATTCCACTTCAGCACGATGGCATAAGTAAATAGGCAGATGCCAATAACTGATCATCATGCAAGAGGCAGAAGGAAAAAAGTGATTTTTTTTTTTTTTAAACTGACTAACAATGTATTGCACCTACATATTTTGTAACAATTATACCCAGAATAATAGATTCCTACTAGAAACGCTACCTTTTCTGTACATTCTGGAACAAAGACTGAGATTTTGTTATTATTTTAGTGCCAAGAGTGGGACGTGCAGCATGCTAAACTTATTAGAACTATATTAACACACTTCCATTCATTTACAGAACTTTTCATAGTTAAAATATGAATTGCAAAAACCTTTATTACAATACCACTGCAGAGTTACGAGAGTTGTTTGCACAAGAGAATTAGCAGTAAGACTAACATTCAAATTTTTGTTTGAGCCAGAGACTTCTCATGAAGCACAGTGTGGCCAAAGCAAAGGCAAAAAACAAAAGCTAAACTAGGCAACAATTTAGCTTACAATCTCCAGCAATATTCTACATTCCTACATAATAATTCTTTCTATATTTTTTTTCTGACAGTACAAAGTCTTTCAGGGTAAGAAAAAATTTAGTTCTATAGTTCCCAGAAAAAAAACAACCCTCTTATGATGAAGGGAATGGTACAATCTAGTCTACTCTTCATACTGTAAAATTATGTTTTGTAATACTTTTGTTAGAAATGTGTTATCAGTACAGAACACTTCAAAGCCAGCAACAAATCAGAAAAATGCATCAGTCAAAATAGTCCAAAGAATAAAAAAAACAGCATGGGAGTTAAAAAACAGAAGGGGGATTATTATTATTTTTTAAAATATAATAAAATAATCAGGGAAATTACTACAGCAAGGTCTAAACTTTAGAAATCTACAATTTTCAAAAAACTGTTGGCTTGACTTTCAAGCCAATGCCAACTTTCAAGCACTTCTTATGAAGTGCCAAATATCCTTATCAAACTTTTATTTTAAAACATAATTTAATTAGGCATGGACACGCAAATCATGGGAATCTAAACCAGTGCGTTTTCTTATTTATACCACACTATCAGTCTGTTAGTCAGACAGAGGCTTCTATTCCCAATTAGTTCCTGCTAACGCTGAAGAAACTTCAAACCTTTGCCCTTCAAAAAACTCTTTTGCCACTCTCATTATTTAAAAAAAAAACAAACACGGCAAGGATGTTCAATGGCTTGATGCCTCTGCTGCAGATTTCTCTTATCAGTTAATACTCTCATCAAACACAGAACGATTCTTTCTTTGCTCAGGTAAGCTACTGTATAAGGTCTCCGAGTTATTACTCATGGCTCCAAAAAGGCACGGGTGTTGATATTTCTACAAGAAATCCTTCCTGCTAAAATAATCACCCAATACATTTCCCACAGAAATTCTGACTTCTCATTTAAGTTGCCAACAATAAAAATCTACCAAGTTTCTAAAGCACCTGTGTCTGCCCCTCTTACGCAGTAATTCTTACTATGAAAACATAAGTGTAATAATAGAAATTAACCCTCCCCACAAGGATGCTTAGAAGCACCTGATTAAGCGACCTTAGGCCAAAGGCCTTTTCTCATCATCTTTAAAATGTTTTACAGTGTTTGAAAGGTAATATCAGAATCTGATTCTGTTTTGCAGGTTATGCATTGCATGATTTCAACAAGTTACCCTCAAACGGCAACAACATAAAGATTACGCTTACTTTAAATGAGAAGTTAACATTTCAGCTGGAAGAGCTGAATGATTGAAACTGTTCAGCCTGTTGCGTAGAGAAGCCTGAAAAAGAGCATGTGTTTTATACTGGAGCGTGACACAGTGAATTCTGTTCATTAAATTATCTTTGATATCTGATCAGTTACACTAGATGATACCCTGAGAAACACTGTGGGCTGGCCTTGCCATGCTGCACAGTTGCATTAAACCACTGCCAACTCACAGGGATGAGATTAGGGCATACCAGTAATACCGTGGGCATCGTTACATAAAATAACGTCCAAGCTGTGCACCTTCAGGACGGAGGGGAAACACAGTTCAGGCTTCGGTCCTTGGTGACACGAGGGGCTCTCGGCAAGCTGCCGCCCACCTCAAAGCCTGCGTGAGCTTAACCCAGACCCGGAGAGGTGTCGAAGACCCGTGTGGGGAGACGCCGAAAGCCAGAGACAGGCCCGGAGGCAGCTCCTGAGGCGGCCCGCGTTAGTTATCGATATTTTAGAACTCAAGCCTACGGGGACCGGCTCCCAGCGGGAGGCGGGACCGTGCCCCGTCCTGCCCTCGGAGAGGAGGAACGGGACCACCTGCGTACGGGCACCGCCTCCCCTCCCCCCCGCCCCAGGCTGCGCACCGGC